AACTTTGCCTGGTAGACATTTAAAATGCTCTTATAGTTTCATCGATGAACACGCTATCTGACGTCGACGGATTGTGGTCCATCGGATCTCAAATTTAGAATTTAAATGGAATTTCTCACGGTCAAAATTAGTGTATACTCGATAAGATGTGAGCTTTGTGCTGTCAATAGAAATGTCTCATCATCAAGAGTTCTCTCCGTTGCATTGAATACTTGTATTTGTATTTGTATTTGTGTAGACTTTTGAGAGGGTAGAATGTTCGCATTTCAGTCAGAAATTACATATCTCATCAATAGAAGGGAAGATACAAGTAAAATATTTAGCCTTTAAGGTTACTGAGAAATTCTGAGGAAGCGCGCTCTCGGTTTACAAGGATTCTGGCAAGATAGGGAACTGGGGAATTTCTGTAGAGACTAATGCGAGAGGGTAATAATCAATAAGAAGAACGTGTAGACGTATGACAGCAGAATTTAGACACTGCACACAAAAATCCGGGTCATCAAAGATTGTTGATGCAAACTGTTTCTGAGCCTTCCTTGGAGTCCACAAAAGTTGTTCAACATCATCTAGAAAGGACAAAATATGATTTGGGATAATAGGACTGACTTCCCAAACAAAAAGAAAAAGAAAATAAACCCCGATACACAGAAGAAAGTTTGTCCTGATTGGACGATGTGGTATTGCTTATAATGCTGCTCAAAAGTGAACCACATCAATTGGACTTAGTATTCTTAGGGCGGGCAGGGGCGGGGGGGGGATTGAAGGGTCTTTACACGTATAAAGTGAACTATGCGTAAATTGTAAACCCTGACTATATGGTAGCAGAATGTTACGGATGAGGAGTATTATCTTGGTATGTGCCCAATCACATCAGACTTACTTTTACTTTTAACCACCTAACACTTTGGGGAAAACAGTTGGGCCCCATGGATATTATCCATAAGATTTTATGGGAATAAGATGTAGAATGGTGCCCAAACAATGTTTTATCACTCGGGGATTCTTGTCAGGAGTCAGCCTTTTTGTTTGAGGTTCCACCTGCATATAGCCGTTTAACAGCCAAATGAAGATTACAAGGCATCCGGTTTATTGTAGACACAACGGAAACCCAGTGTGAAGTTTATTTGCTCTCCCAGGGAGAATTATGTGGATAAAGTGAATCACGAGAGGATGTGATCTCATTTAGTGACAAGCAGCGACCGTCACCTTGAATTGCAGTCTACGGAATTATGCAGGATTTATAGTGGAAATTTCCCACAAAACAAAATTTCCTCGTGTCCTTGGTAACCGCTTGATTGGTGAGCCTAGGTTCACCGCATTAAAGACTGATATCCGACTTACTATACGGAACCTAGAGACACCCAATGTGGAATACAGATCGTTTTTTAGACAACGGTAACCCAAAACTATTTACCAAAACAGGACAGAACCCTACCTTGTTGGATAAAACTTATCCATGAATTCCGAACAATTACAAATGTTAGCACAGTCAGAGCACATTTACTAGACCAGAAGCCCATTGAACAAGTGCAGGATTTTTTGTGTAGCAAGATCAAGGAAGCCAGACTATCACTCGTTGTCGACATATTTAGTAGTGTTTCACTCAGAGTACGCGTAATTAGGGGTTGTATGGAATCGGAAAATTGGAAAGAAGTATGCCACAATCAGCATTCTTGTGCTAGAGTCGATAAACGTACACATAAAATGGAAGATTAGGTCCGGATTTTTCAGATTCACTTCAGTTTGATCATGAGGTCAAGTCAAATCAAGTCAGAGTAAGCTTTATTCACCCGTAGGATGAATTTTCAGCGATTTTTTCTCGATAGTACAGTAGAATTGAGGTCGATGGCCTCCGAGTGTGAATGGGTTAATTAAAAAAAACGACTGAAAACTGAACGCAGGAAGACGATAGTGATGGATAAAAAAATGAATAAATAAACTAACTCATGAGGTGTTCAATCAAACCTGTAAGAATATGTGTCCGAATTACTAGAAGGCGAGCAAGCAAAGGGAGGGTGCTGTTTCTGTATGCGACGGTACGTGCGGGAAGCAGCCTATAATGAGAGCGGGTACGGGGGTTTGACATGAATTTAGTAAGTTCTTTGTGCGAGCAGTGATCTTCCTTGTTCAATATTCGGTCACCTATTATTTCACATGCATCGATATGTTTGCACACAATAAAATAAACCAGAACTTCTCTGATTATGTCGCTACATCGAGAAAGAAGTTTAATAGACCTGGAAATTAATACGAAATCATTTTCTTTTAGGCCGGGAAAAAATACAGGGGAACAATAGAGCCCATGAAGAAGGATGCATGCTACCACGAATTTTAAAATTACGTTTAAGGGAACAGCAAGCTTTCGAAGTTTGAAAACATAAAATGGGAGTTTACGAACCTTGTTGTAAACGTTCTCTACACGTAAGGTCCAAAAGAAGTAGTGGGATAAAAAGACTCCGAGGTATTTAACAGTCAGCTTTGGGAATGCTGTGAATGTTGACTACTAGATCCGGTAAATTATTAAGGGTAATTTGTTAGCGGGAGCCAGATTTAAGGCTGAAGGGAACGTCGACACATTTGGAAACATTAAATAGAAGTAACTGTAAGCGGAAATATTTCCTGATGTCGACTGAACGGGAGATGCATACACATACCGATAAGAAATCGTCCTCGAAGCTGACTTGGGCAATCTGAAACGATTTTTCTCCATCAACTATTTTTGAACTGGTGAATATTTTGTGGAATCGAAAGTAATGGTAGTTCTTGGGCAGGAAACAAAGAAGTTGGATTACGTGATTGTTTATTGCAACCACAGGTATTTGTATCAAAAGGCGATTTTTGGGGACCAGTTGGAATAATATACTCGATATCGTTTAAGTTCCAAAAGAAAAACATTGAAATCCGATGTTAAACTTTGATCAAACAAGAACCCCCTCAGTGAGGGCAAATTGCACTGTATTCGATCAGATGTCGACTGGAATTCCGGTTAGGAAAATACAATTAAGTCAAGAAGACAAATGATCAGTGATGATAAAACTCACCATGTTGTGGTCAACAGGAAATGAATACTCATTGATGAGTAAATCAGGGAGATTGGCAAATGAAACATAAAATTGCTACAATAAATGAAGTTCCATTTTAGAACCCCGAGGAGGCGAAATTTCGAAAGGTTCTGTTCCACTCAACACGTTGCTGAATAAACAACGATGTTTGGGCTGAGATACAGTAGAGGGACCATTTTTATTGAAACGAACCAGAATAATTTCATCTCAATTCTATTGTGTAAAACTCGTGCTGCATCAAAAATGTCTATAAGCTGATTTTCGAAAATAGCACAGAAGCGTATACAAATAAGGTGAAGCAATTATCCACCTTCACAGATCCATCCTCGTTTTGTTAATCGGTGAGACTACAGGTAGTATACCGAAGGACATCAGTTTAAAATACATTTTTTTCAAACAATAATCTGTAAAACCTGAATCTGTCTGAAACATGAGCATGGGGAACGGACCATTCACAATCAGTAAGATATGAATTGTCAACCAAGATTACGTAAACAAAGATATGTGAATTGACAGATGGTAACTAAGCCATGACGGAGAGCAACATATTCTCCTGAAATTGAACGAGGAAAGACGGTTGAGGGACGAAAATCGCACACACAGACAAAGAGGAATGGAGTTATTGGAAGCGAACATGTGATTATAGACCGATAACAACACACAATAATAACAGTAGTTAAAAGTAATGATACCATTTCAGATCATGGGAAACATTTATTGTGACATTGGAAATAAAAAAACGGTAGGGAAAAACAAGCTGCTTTTCTATAAATTCATCAACTATCCGCTTACATTTATACAAGTAGAGCATTTATTATTGTTTGATCTTGTACGAGGTGGATCTTACTACCCTATGTACAAAGTGATGCTACGTGCGTCAACAATTTGATTGAGTTTCGCCTTGGTTACGACGTTCTTCCAGTTACCACGCTCGCATTGCATGGTTGCTTGGTGACTGGACATGGTAGAGATAATGTCCGGACGAAACGCCTCTGATTGTGTAGAGGGGGTCAAGCAGTTTGATTGAAATAGCTTCAGCAGTGCACAGAAGGATAAAGCGCATGGATTTAGATGATGATGGTGGAATATGATAAACTGTAGTGAACACTCAACTTACGTCCACATGGTGATTAGTTTCGAGTAGGTGTTGGCAAATCGCGCTCCTCGCTGTCCTCGTTTCTTCGTGTACAGATTACATAGACAAGATAAGTAAGGTTCTCCTTCAGACAACTTCTAATTCCAAAATGAACCAAAAAGGTTTGACTGAGCAGAATAAATCGAACAAGAATTGACCAAATACCTGAAATCGATGAGAAAAGAAAACCATATGAGTGACACTACGTTCGAACAATTGAAACTTCAAATATTTCAAGGCTTCACGGACTCCCCAAGGTGCACAAGATCAATCTACCATTGAGAGCGATATTGAATATGATATATTCACCATATCACGTCATAGCAAAATGGCGGTGATAACGTCACCATATTATCACCACGGAGATGTGAATTCGAAGCCCGCCACCACCGCCTGACTTTCCCCATTGTGCGTTGAATGGCAGCCCTTTGATTGGCCGCTTCCCTTTTCCTGAAAATTGTACCTTTCTATCTTTCAATAAAAGGAAGTAAAAGAAATAGAAGAAAAAAGGTCCAATCAGGAAGAAGATATCAACATAGTTGGAAAGACACTTTCCATTTTGTTGATCAAATCAAAATCTAAGCAATTCTTCTCAATCTATGTACTCCCTAGACGCAACATCTTTCTTCATGAACGCCCCATTAGTCAAAACTATCGAATATTTGTGCACCTTTATGAAAGATCATCATTTGGACGTTGTAGTAGCACTGAATATTCTCAGGGAGTTATCACTCCGATACACTTTTATGTATGATCAACTATCATGTGTACAAACAAACCGATGTAGTAGTTGTGTGACTCACCTGTGGGTACACTTTTGGCCGATATATTCATGAGTAATTTAGAGAACACCAGCCTCCGACCGATCGTAGAGGATTTGAAATGGAAATGGAGACTTGGACGGAATACTGACATCATTTAACAATGCTCACCGATCCATAAGCTTTACTAAAAAAAAAAGAAACAAGCGACTGCATCCCGTATCTAGATGTCTTTATTCATAGAAACCTAGATGGATCTATCGGTCGGAAAGTCCACAGGTAACCAACTCAGATACGACAATACAGTAATTTCAATAGTTTTGCACGAATTAAACAACAAGTAAACTTAGTTCATTTTCTAGCGAGACGAGTACAGAGAATTTGCACTCCGGACACCCTGATAAAAAAATGAAGCAAATAAGAACCATATAACGAGAGAATGGTTATCCGGATCGCTTCCTTGACAAACATCTAACAGAAACAACAAAGAAACCATAAGTTAGTACAGTAAGCAGAAAACCCTTGTATCTGCAATTGCCTTACAAGGGCGACAAAGCGGTGGACTGGGTCACACGAACAGTATACCAAACGCTTAGGAGAACCTTCACTAAGACTAGGTATCATTTTCTCCCGACCGCCTGTAATTCGTTTCCATTTCAAAGATATATTGTCCTCTCAAGCCATATCCATGTGCATCTATTTGTTTACTTGCTCCTGTGGAACGAGTTACATAGGTCGCACACTAAGACGATTGTCGATGATAATAAAGGAAGATAAGCCTCAATGTTTAGCACACGAAGAAACGAAGACAGCGAGGAGCGCGATTTGCCAACACCTACTCGAAACTAATCACCATGTGGACGTAAGTTGAGT